CGCTGTCAGAGGTGTGGCCTAATATGCTAATAAGTTTCTGCTGTTGTTCTGAGTGCCTGCTGAGTTCCTGCTGGGCTTTTTCCACACAAAAAAAGCCCTGGGTCTAGCAATAGCTATCAAGTCATGGTGCCTCCATGTTCAAAGGAATTGCAGTTGCTGGGTGGGGAGTAATAATGGGGATAGGGCTGTAGCTTCTGTATTCTGCCCTCAGGCCTTGTGAGTGATCAGTCATGTGACAAGATGTTGGATCTAGGTTTACCTGACCCTCCGGTGGAAGAAGAAGAAGAAGATATTGAATTTATACCCCGCCCTTCACTACTCAAAGGTGTCTCAGAGTGCCTCCCTACTCCTCCCAGTAAGTCCCCTCCCCTTCCCCCAGTGGTTACCAGAAGGAACCTAACAATGTGACTTGGATCTGACGGACCAGTGAGCTGATCCAGCAGGATTCTTCTTACCTTCTTAACCACAGGGAGTCATTGTTGTATAAACAGAACAAACTGTGGGGAGATGGAGGATCCTGCGGAGGAATCCCAGAGAATCCCCATGAAACATGTCACAATACAAGAAGTCGTGGGCACTCCATGAAATTGCTGAGCGGTCGGGTTAGAAAGGATAGAAGGAAGGACTTCTTCAACCAAAGAGTGATTAACACTTGGAATTCACTTCCACAGGAGGTGGTGGCAGCTACAAGCATGGACGGCTTCAAAAGGGAATTAGATAAGCATATGGAGCAGAGGTCCATCAGTGGCTATTAGCCACAAGGTATAGATAGGGGCTCTGGGGCAAGTGATGCTCTGTCTTCTTGGTGCTTGGGGGGGTCAACAGTGGGAGGGCTTCTAATGTCTTGGCCCCATTGGTGGACCTCCTGATGGCACTGGTATTTCTGGCCACTGTGTGATACAGAGTGTTGGACATCTCTTATGTTCTTATGTTCTTATGTCTCCTGAAGGAGATGTGTCTTAGGAGCTAGTCACTCACATACTTCCAGTTAGGGATTTGCATGAAATTCTATATCATTGTATGGGTTCTGCCTATGTATTGGTAAGTACATCACGGTGGCGCCAACATTTCACAGTCTAAGAAATGATTATTTCGTTTGCATCTCTTTATGTAGTTATATATCTGTGCCATGCTAGAATGTGCCGGTGTGGTTTGGCGCCTTCAATTTCCCCCACCCTAAACAAGCCCACACATATGGCACTGGGGAGCAGCTCATAACCGCCGCGTTCCGTCAGCCAAACACATATGAAATGCCGGCTCACGTATCAAAGTAAAATATGCATTCAAAGAAACATGTTCAGGCAAAATGCCAGCAACAATGTTCTCAAGACAGAAGCAAAATGCCAGAGGAACAGAATTCCTTCCTGCGGGGAATCAAAGAAACCATGTCAGAACGGTGCCTGAGGTATCAGTTTGCCCTTACCATGAACGAAATCCATAGGAAAAACATCTGCAGTAGTTCTGGTGAAAGACAAACGTGTGCGGCGAATGTATTAAAATCCCCCGTCACCCTGTGAGGTAGGTGGGGCTGAGAGAGTTTTGAGAGAACCATGACTTAGAACAGAAGAATGTAACAGAAGCCATGTTGGATCAGTCCAACGTTGGACCTTCTAGTCCAACACTCTGTGTCACACAGTGGCCAAAACCCAAGGGCCATCAGGAGGTCCATCAGTGGGGCCAGAATTCCAGAAGCCCTCTCACTGTTGCCCTCCAAGCACCAAGAAGACAGAGCATCACTGCCTCAAAAATAAGAACATAAGGGAAGCCATCTTGGATCAGGCCAATCCATTCCAACACTCTGTGTCACACAGTGGCCAAAACCCAAATGTTATCAAAAGGTCCACCAGTGGGGTCAACACCCCAGAAGCCCTCCCACTGAGGCCCCCCCAGCACCAAGAATACAGAGCAACACTGCCGCATACACTTATCCCGCCTCACTGCACAGTCACATCACTCCCCGGCGTCTACACTACCAACGCGCGGGAGCGTGTGTCGGCGGGTTTTAATTTTTTTTCTCAGTTTGCGCATGCGCATAGGCACTCCTCCGTAGAATGGGGGGGCAAAACTACCATGGTGCATGTGTAGAACCACCAGGGCGAATCAATTCAACCCCTCCAACAAAAGACTTCCCTTTAAACGTTTGACCCAAAAATGGCCTCCGTGAGATCCCGAACTCATCTAAACTCTAAAACAAGTGACCCTTTAAATGTCGGTTTTCTAAACACAGTAGCAGAGCTCCGCCAATGTGCGCACCGCCAACACTAAAAAAAATGGCGGGCGAAAAGCGGACGCCTTGGGCAGCTTTCCAGTGGGGAGGGGGTTTAAACTGGAAGTGGCTTGACACCGGAGGAGCAATCACACAGGGGGGAAATGCGGCTTTAAATGGGAGAGCTGAGAAAACACCACTTTGGAACTTGATAACAAAATACTCTGAGTTAAAGTGGTTTTGAACCGGAAACCAGCGGCTGGGGACGGGAGGCAGATGTTGACTGTGTGATCGTGCATATAAAATCTGTTGCTGAACTGTCATGACACCAGATCAAATGGCGCGTCTGAACGCACCCAGTGGGTGACAAGACTAGGGGAGGCCTGTTACCTGCATGCCCCAAAGAAGCAGAAATGAAGTTGCACCTTTGCTCTGGCTCAGAGTATTTCTCTTCCTATACATCCTGGTTGGCCTGCAGGTGTGGTTTGTCACTGCCTCGGGACTGGACAAAACCATCACCCTATCACCACCCAATGATGTGGCAATGGTTGTGTGGCACCTGGGCCAGTATAGAGACCAAGGCTGTTAATAGACTCCAGACATGGTAGGTATATGGATCCTCCATATTCAGGGGCATAGAGGACGGACATTGACTGGTCACTCTGCTTCTGGGATTTCCAGATTATCTGCTTGACCATTCGTGGAAAACAGAATATTGGACTACACAGATTTTGGTCAGGTGTAGTAACTGTGCACACAATATGGGCTTCAATCCCAAAGGAAGTTTCCTGGGAGTAAGTCCCATTGAAGAACATGAAACCTACCTCTGAGTAGACCTGGTTAGGATCTCTCCCATGGTCCGTATCACACAGAAGAATGCAGGTGGGGAGAGAAAGGTCACAATGTAAGGGAAGGAAGAGTTGAGATTCAGGCAAGGGAAACGACAGAGTTTCTCAGCTCTGCTATTTTGACTCGAATATTCCTATTTGTTTTTGAATCTTTCTTCTGCAGATGGAACGTGTGACTCTGAATTGTAATGCTTTGTTTTGTCTTCCCTTCGGTCCTATTTCTTTCATGTTAATTTACACAGCATCGTTTTGGCATCATTTGCAAATAAATGTCACCTCCATGGTGTTTGACTAGCATACAGTATCAGTGGTGTCTGTATGGTGTTGAAGTGATGCATGAAAGGGAACACCATCTCTGAACACCATCTGTGAACATGGGTGAAATGAAATGGGTGAAAAGAAGAAGAAGAAGAAGAAGAAGAAGAAGAAGAAGAAGAAGAAGAAGAAGAAGAAGAAGAAGAAGAAGAAGAAGAAGAAGAAGAAGAAGAAGAAGAAGTGGAGGAGGAGGAGGAGGAGATTGGATTTATACCCCACCCTTCACTACGCAAAGGTGTCTCAGAGCGGGTGACAAACTCCTTTCCCTTCCCCTCCCCGCAACAGAAAACAGCTCCCAATGGAAAAAAAAAAGAAAATACATGGAAAGGAGTGTCTTAGTACACCCCTCATTCTAGTTGAATCTGTCTTATGCAGGCCTTTTGTCCATCAGAGCCCAGTATTGTCTATTCAGACTGAAAGTGGCTCTCCAGGGTCTCAGGTAGAGGTCTGTATAGAAAAAATTGCTTTCTGCTTTCTATATCCACATGCCTTCTCCTGTTATTACATTATGATAACATGCTGTGTCTTGTTTCCTGTTGCAAGCCAAATGGTGAGGCCACATGGCCTCAATAGCCACATTCTTTCACACTTTCATGCCAAACGCCAGACCTCATGGCTACACTTTCTGGCCCACTTGCGACCAGTCATGTACACAATGAAATAGCTGGAGTTTGGGTCAGATGACTGCAGGTGGGGTCCCAAACTTATAGCCTATCCCCACACACAGCTATGACAACCAACAACTGGGCACACCCATGCCCACTCGCAATTGGCTGATGGCCACATCTAATTTGTGAATGGAATTGGGGTATAATTGTTTGATCCCTATGGGAGTGAGTTCTCTTGCTCTCTTGCTCTTGCTCTCTCCCCTGTCATTGTCTGTTTTATTGCACCTGAAATGCTGTCTCTTGGAAAACAAAGACCTGCTTTGAGACTTGGAGCACATGAGTGTGCAAAAAAGGTATTTCCCTTCAAAATCCCTTGGACTATTCTAGACTGTGGATGTTCCTGATGTGGTAACTATGTATCTTCAATGTGTAGTTAAGGCAAATTGCCCTAGCCTTTGTTATTTTGAAATCTCCTAGTCTGTTTGCTGTGCTCTGTACTGAATAAAGATCCTTCTTATTGCTAATTTGTCCTTGATGTTGTAACTTGGATTCCAAGTCTAAGTCTTGTGCCTAACCCTGACCACATACGCTACCATGGGAGGGTAAAAAAGCGTGCATCTCTGGATAGAGTTGCTACTGAGTTAAATCCCATATGCTAACTAAGGGCTGGAATCTCTCCCTTAGGAAAAGCAGGGACTATTGAAAAGAGATTCTGGTGGCATATTGTTCTGAAAACCAGAGAGGATATAGACCATCTCATGGTTTGTTGTTTAATGTACAGGATTCCCTCTCATCCCTGGACTGGCCTGGGTGGGCTAATCCTGTACAAGATCTTTCACCTCATCTACAACCCAAAACCCCCCCCCCCAAACTGGAAATACAGGAGATTGAACCTGTGACCTTCTGCATGCCAAGCAGATATTCTACCACTAAGACACCACCCCTCCCCATGATGTTGTCGATGAGATGAGGCAGGCTGACTAAAGAGATGTAGAAATAAATAAGGACTCCAAGACAAAGATATGGGATGCAACTTGAGTTTTAATGTGAAAGCAAATGGGCATGAATGATGAGCCCAGCTGAGAGTGCACAGAGCTCATAGAATAGTAGGTGTCATGTTCTAGAGGACCTTCTTTCCAATGAACACACGGAGGGAATGACATAAACCAAGTGGAACATCATGAAAGACAGTGCAGTTTCGATGTGCTGGTAACCAGGGAGAAATGGCCAGTGGCAAAGAAGGGACCATGCACCTCTACCAGTGGCTTCTTGTATGCATCTAGACTGGAAGATCCAGCGCCCAGCCCCAAAGCCACGTTCGGTAATGACAAACAGCACATGCATCTCCCCATAGTAGGGATAGCATATGCACATGTCATTCTGAACCTCTGGATTTGGGTCCAGATGTGCGTTCTTCCCCGAGAGTCACCACGTACACCACAAAAGCAGTGTACAAGGCTTTTCAATGAGGGAAATAGGTAAGAGAGATGTAATACTGATCAATAGAAAAGAGCCACCCACACATGTGAAAAACATAAGCAGAAGCAGACATGCATTGTCTTTCAAGGACTCAACAGGTTGGCTCCAGATGTGATGGTGGACATTCGACATTCTCAACAGAAGTGGCAACTTCTTCCGTGGCGCTGTTGGCATCTTGCGCCTGTCCCCTCCCATGCGGTCGCTGTTTTGTCTTGGTCTAATAACATGATCGGTTGGAGCAGTAGCTGTAGTTGCTGCTTGGCAGGGCCTGAGTGTAGAAGTTGGTGTTGCTAGCATACAGAGATCTGTTGCTGCCTCCGCTAGAACCATGGAGGACGTTGGCACATGGGTTGTGTTGCTCAATCTGGAATGGCTGGTCAGGGCAATAGAGAGCAGGCCCTGGGATAGTCAGGACGAAGGGTGGTGGCTGGATGGTCACTGTTGATGCCGGGCAGCTGGCGTAGCACTGGTTCCATGCTGCTCCACCACGGGTAGAAGACATCTTTGGAGGTTAGAGGTGGATCTGAAACAACATGGAGTCAGCACGATCTGCAGTTCCCGAAAGGGAGCTGAACGATCGCGACACACGCTGGCTTTAGGGCCATTTCAAGCATGGTATTGTTCCTACACAGGTGCTCAGAAGTATGGCTGTGAGAAAGCATGTGCCCATGCTCCCAGTTGTATAATTACCTTGGGTGCAAATTATCCAGAGGTAGTTTTGAATCTCCCCTCCCTGCTGCTTTGACCATAACACTCTGTTTTGATTTTGCTTCTCCCTTGAGCCACAGTTGGGGGATGGGTTCTTGTTCCCTCTAAGCTGTGGAGTTTTGTGAACAAAAATTCTACTTTGGGAGCTGCTGGCATTAAAGCTGTGAGTGAGCCATTTCACGACTGCATAAATTAGTCTGCTCTGAAGCCATCCTTCCTGAGCTAAGACAAAAAAGTGTGAGCTGGAGGCTAAAAAAACTGTGAGCTAGCTCACACTAACTCAGCTTAGAGGGAACACTGGCTTCTCACCATTTTTTGGATCTCGCATAATTGCGAGGGGGTTGTCAGAGTAATTAACAAAGAGAACTTTACATTTTCCTTACTAGAATTTGTGAGCAGTGACTCAGGAAAGCTCATCCCCTGCCACATATTTTGTTAGTCTAAAGACTCTTGAGAGCCAGTTTGGTGTAGTGGTTAAGTGCGTGGACTCTAATCTGGGAGAACCAGGTTTGATTCCCCACTCCTCCAGTTGCACCTGGCTGGATGACCTTGGGCAAGCCGTAGTTCTGATAAGAGCTGTCCTTGAAAAAGAGCAGTTTCTGTCAAGAGCTCTCTCAGCCCCACCTACCTCACAGAGTGTCTGTTGTGGGGAGGGGAACGGACGTTTGTAAGCTGCTCTGAGACATCTTTGGGTAGTGAAGGGCGGGGTATATATCCAATCTCTTCAGATATCTGAAGAAGCGAGCAGTGACTCACAAAAGCTCATCTCCTGCCCAGTGGTCCCTCTAAACTGAGTGAGTGTGAGCTAGCTCACAGTTGTTTAGCCTCTGGCTCACACATTTTTGTCTTAGCTCAGGAAGGATGGCGCAGCTCATCACCTATGTGTTGGAGGAAATGTGGAAGCATTGGAACGTACGCCCATTGTTGGTGGGAGTGCCCAATTATAAACTCTTTCTGGCAAGAAGTCCTTAATCAGATTAAAATTATTACAGGCTATGAAGTACCCATGAAGCCAGAGATTCTCTTCCTCTCCATCTGGAAAAATTCTCAAATTCCGCCAATCAGTAAAGATCTCATATTCAGCTTAATAGTTGCAGCACGCTCCTGCATAGCCGCCAGGTGGAAATCTCATCTTCTACCTACAATTGAGCAGTGGTACTTGAAAGTTTGGGACCTCTATATCCTCGAAAAAATTACAGACCATGTCAGAAGCGTTGAACACTTTCCTCAAAAAACCTCTTTCTCTTCAAAATGGCTACCCTTCTTTGAAATGATAACAGAACAAGACATCCAACCACACACACAAATTTATCTCAAATTACTTTACATCTAGACATTACAACCCTGAAATTAACAAATATATATACCACTGGTTGTTTATCAATTAGTTTATAATAACGCAGAATGCTGAAACAAATACTTTTTCTAGAAAATACTTCTCAAGTTAATTCTATTTGTGATGATATTATGGTTCTATTGCTTTGTATTTAAAGTACTTTGAAAATTTTGGAAGTTAATGTTATTTTATGATGTACCATATTGCTAAAATGTTAATAAAAAGTTTATGATAAAAAAAGGAAGGATGGCGCCACAGCAGACTAATTTATGCAGTAGCCAAATGGCTCGCTCACAACTTTAATGCCAGTGGCTCACAAAGTAGAATTTTTGCTCACAAGGCCCCACAGCTTAGGGGGAGCATTGCTCTTGCCACATATTTTGTTAGTCTTTAAGGTGCTACTGGACTCTTGCTCTTCAGATATCTGGAGAAGTGAGCAGTGGCTCACGAAAGCTCTTCCTCTGCCACATATTTTGTTAGTCTTTAAAGTGCTACGGGACTCTCATTCTTTTCTATTGCTACAGACAGACTAATACAGCTACCCATTTTGATTTGTTTCTCTGCTCTTCGCTGGTTTCCATATGCAATGTGTATGTTTTTTTTAAAAAAATATTTAAATGTTAAGTGGTTAAGTAGTTAATTGGTTAAGACGCTGAACTGCAGGCTGTGGAAGGTTGGTAGTTCAGCAGTTTGAGACCCGGGTGCCGCATGATGGAGTGAGTTCCCGTCTCTAGTTCCAGCTCCTGCCAACCTAGCAGTTTGAAAGCAAGAAATTGTAAGTAGATAAATAGGTACCACTTCAGTGGGAAGGTAACAGCGTTCCGTGCGCCTTGGTGTTTAGTCATGCCGGCCACATGACCACGGAAACGTCTTCGGACAGCGCTGGCTCTTTGGTTTTGAAACGGAGATGAGCACCGCAGCCCTAGAGTCGGATTCGACTGGCTTTCGAGCAAGGGAACCTTTACCTTTACCTTTAATTTGGGCAACCAGTGTGCAGTGACGCTCTATCGCTGCACAAATAAAATTACAAAACACATCAATTTTACAGGGGGGGGGGGAAATCAGGACAAGAAAAAGAAAACAGTGCGAAAATGGAGACGCACTCACTTCTGTTGCACAAGGGAGAAGGTGAGAAAAAATTGGGATTCGTGGAGGGATAGAAACAGAGGGCAGGAGAATTTCAAAAGCACACATAACATCGGGAAGAAGGCTGACACCTGAAATCAGATCCTGAGACCTGGAAGCACTCCTGCCCCGCCCAAACCTGAAACCCAGGCCTGAAAGGATGCTGACAGAGGTCACATCCCTTCCAGTGAGACAGAGAATGAAGCATGAGTCATGAATGTTCAGGAACTGTGGTCAAGGCCTTCAGACTGCTCGGCCTCATGCCAAGCATGCCTGCCTCCGTCCCTTTCCAAACATATGACGGGCATATCCCATTAAAAAGAGACTCTCCTAGCCAGGGGTCATTTCATAGAAAAAGAGGTGCAGGAGCTCATTAGCATAACTCATTTGCATATGCCACACCCCCTGACCTCACTGGAAGTGTGTCAGAAGGCAACACCCACCGCTCAGGCTCCACTGGACTCTTGTGGATTGCTAGCTATTCGGGGGGGGGGGCGGGCAGATCTGTCCTCGCAGAGGAGGGAGAGCTTGTACCTAAATAAAACTTCATTTTAAAAGTGCCATTGGACTGTTTCGGGGAGGGCGCGCTCTGCAACTTACCTGGCTGCTTCTTGCTCTGACTGAGGGCTGTTGGGAGCAGGGGGTGGGGCTTGTTGCATGTGCCCGCCCCCTGGGCTCTTTACTGCCAGAGCTCCGCTCCTGTGCGCTCCTGCAGGAAATGATCCCTGCTCCTAGCAAAGCTGAGGAAGAGCTTTCTCTTTCTGAAATCATGGGAAGCCAGTGCCAGTCAGAATGGACATATTACTGAGATGGCTGAAGGTTCTGACTCAAGGGCTGCGATCTTATGTACCTGAAGCGGCGGCAGACATACGATTCCCCCACGGATTAAAGGGATGCGATCAGACAGACACATCTGTCCAGCGTCCCGGAGTCGTTGGCGGGGAGTCTTGTTGCGCCACAGGAGCATTGCAAAAAGCCATCAGGGAAAGGTTAGTAGTATCCGGAATTGTGGGGCAGGCGGGCAGAAGTCTGATCGCGCAAACGCATGTCAGTTCGCCCCGGGGCAAACAGCCTGGCTTCCCGCCCGCATTTCCTTGGTGGTGTGATCGGAGCCCCGGTCAAGCAATGCCAAAAGAAAGGCATTAGAAAACTGGAACACTTTTGAAAGTCTTCGGGTCAACAGGTCCCCCCGACCACTGGTGGGGGGTAGGGTTGCCATCTCCTGGTTGGGAAACTCCTGGAGATTTGGCAATGGAACCTGAGGAGGGTTAGGAAGCAATCCTGGAGGGGGTTTTTTTTGGGGGGGTCATCTTCTGGGCATGGAACAGCGGTCACTGCCGGTGTGGAGGGGGACTTATTTGTGAATTTCCTGCATTGTGCAGAGGGTTGGACTAGATGACCCTGGAGGTCCCTCCCAACTCTATGATTCTATGAGGACAGGGACCTCAGTGGGGTACGATGCCCCCTCCAAAGCATCCCTTTTCTCCAGCGGATCTGATCTCTCTAGTCTGGAGAGGAGCTGTAATGCTAGAGGACCCCCAGGCCCTACCTTAGTGTCCAAGATCTGATGAGATCTAGCTAACCTGGCCTATCCAGGTCAGGATGTCATATAGGAAGAAGAAGAAGATAAAGATGAAGACGGAGAAGAGAAGGAGGAAGAGGAGATTGGGTTTATATCCCACCCTTCACTCGGAGTCTCAGAGCGGCTTACAAACTCCTTTCCCTCCCCCTCCCCACGACAGACACCCTGTGAGGGAGGTGGGGCTGAGAGAGCTCTTTCAAGAACTCTCCTTGAGAGAACAGCTCGGCTAGAACTATGGATTGCCCAAGGTCATCCAGCAGGCGCAAGCGGAGAAGTGAGGAATCAAACCGGGTTTCTCCCAGATTAGAGTCCACGCACTTAACCACGACAAATACAAATACAATACCTTTATTGGCATAAAATACTTAACCGCTACACCAAACTGGCTCTCACACCAAACAGAAGAAGGAGAAGAAGAAGAGTTGCTTTTTAAGCCCCACTCTTCCCTCCCCAAAGGAGTCTCAGAGTGGCTTACAATCTCCTTCCCTTCCTCTGACCACAACAGACACTCTGTGAGGTGGGTGGGGCTGAGAGAGCTCTGAGAGAGCTGTGACTGTCCCACGGTCATCCAGTTTGCTTCATGTGGGGGAATGGAGAATCATACCCAGCTCACCAGATTAGTGTCCTCCACTCTTGACCCTTACACCAAGCTACATGCATATTAAATACGATTCAACTTGAGGGGTCGAAAACTGCTTTCAGAGCACATGGCTCTAATTCCAGAACCAGTTATAGAAATTTGCTTAATTAAACCACAATGCCGAATGCACTCCATGGCAAAAGTCTGGGACAATTTAGAAACGTGAGAGGGAAGATCTGCTCACCCCGTCCAGGAATGGGAAAATATTAACTCAGAGATCCGAGTCATGTTTTCACATTTTCATGTTCGAGGATCAGAAGTCATGCACTGGAGTGCACATGCAAAAGCAGAGAGCAGGGAAGAAGAAGAAGAAGAAGAAGAAGAAAAAGAAGAAGAAGAAGAAGAAGAAGAAGGAGGAGGAGGAGGAGGAGGAGGAGGAGAAGAAGAAGAAGAAGAAGAAGAAGAAATTGGATTTATACCCCACCCTTCACTACCCAAAGGAGTCTCAGAGCAGCTTACAAACTCCTTTCCCTTCCCCTCCCCACAACAGACACCCTGTTAGGTCGGTGGGGCTGAGAGAGCTCTGACAGAAACTGCTCTTTTTCAAGGACAGCTCTTATCAGAGCTATGACTTGCCCAAGGTCATCCGGCCAGGTGCAAGTGGAGGAGTGGGGAATCAAACCTGGTTCTCCCAGATTAGAGTCCGCGCTCTTAACCACTACACCAAAGAAGAGACATCTCTGCCGCCTCGTGTCACCAAAACCTAGCAGATGTAGATGCCACCCTGGGACCCAAATGGACTTACCTTGTCCTATGTGAAGCAGAAAGGAAGATGAGTGGTTGGGAGATGCCTGGAGGAGCCGCTTTTTATATGGTGTGTCCGATTGCTGGAGGCCAATGAAGGCTTTTTTTATTAGGCTATGATGACCTGATCAGTTGCCACGGGCAACGCCCAGTTTGCCACCAAAGGGCAACGCCTCTTCCTGCATTATCAAAGACACGAGAATAATTACGCCACCATCATTATCTGTTTCTACTCCACTCAGCTATACAGCCGTATGGCTATTTCGCCATACCGGTTGCTCTGTGGGCACGATGCCATTGGTGTAATGTCTCTGGAATTATTCTGTGAACCAGCAATTCCAGATCGTCACATTGTTCATAGGACCGATGGTGTATCCATCACAAAAGTGTTCTCCAACATAGCAACCAAGAAGGCGAGGACCTTTGCCGATGCACAAGTGTCAGTAAAAGGCCCTCTGGGCTCTTAGTGCAAGATCAGAACCTGGGTAATTTTCCTTCATACTAGCATGGACCTTCCTGGGTGCTGCTCAGTCAGACATACACTGCCAACATAGTCATGTTCACGATCCTCCTCGGTATTCAGAGGAGTCTGTGGGAACCCACTGAAAAAGCATCCACCAAGGGATACTCTGGGGGGGGGGTCAATGTTCCCTCTAAGCTGAGTTAGTGTGAGCTATCTCACAGTTTTAAAGCCTTGGCTCACACATCTTCGTCTTTGGTCAGGAAGGAGGGCTCTAGGGCAAACTAATTTATGCAGTAGCCAAATGGCTTGCTCACAACTTTAATGCCAGTAGCTCACAAAGTATTTTTTTTGCTCACAAGACTCCACAGCTTAGAGGGAGCATTGCTGGGGGGTGGGACTTAATTGGAACTGACAGTTATCCAGCCTGGAAACTGATGGGGGCCCCGTGGTGGGGATACAGGGGACCACAACACTGGCTGAGCCATCATAAGAACAGAAAAGAAGCCAATGTTGGCTCAGGCCAATGGCCCATCTAGTCCAACACTCTGTGTCACACAGTGGCCAGAAATACCAGTGTCATCAAGAGGTCCAGCAGTGGGGCCGGGACACTAGAAGCCCCTCCCCACTGTTGCCCCCCCCAGGCACCAAGAATACAGTGCATCTCCAGACTGAGAGTTCCTAACTATACCTTGTGGCTAATAGCCACCAATGGATCTTTGCTCCATATTTGATCTAATGTAACTTCCAGTTTTTTTAAAAAAAATGGAATCAACAGAGGTGGCTCTAGGAATTGCTTGAAACTCTATGGAAAGATTGTACAATTTCTAGAGAGTTCTAGAGCTGCCCCATGTCTCTTCTGCTTTTTTAAAAAAGTAGAAGTGATGTGACACTATAGCCAACATTGAAGGCATATATTTTTTTCCTCCCACCACTGCTTGGAATGGCTGCATGTGATAGGAGTGAGCAGGGGCATAGCCAGGATTTTGAAGGTCGGGGAGCATTTTGAAATATTGGGGGGGGGGCACGGGGCAGGCGGGGAGAGATTTCACGACATGGGTGAAACCTGGAGACAGGGCGGTGCTTGATTGATCACCCCCGCCATGCTGCTGCCACTTTCCTTCTTTCCCATGCCCCATCCAGTTGTATGCTGTCATGCCCGCAGTGCAGCCCGACCCCGTGGTCCCTGACCCCGTGGATTCTACACCCTCAACATCCGAGGGTGAGCTCCCTGCATCCCTTGAATCACTAGCTCTAAGTCCTGGGGAGGATGAGCACCAGCTACCAGGAGACTTTACACCTGGAGCCGCACCTGCAGAGCCAAGCACAAGCACCATGCCTCCTGATATCCCCCCCACCTGTGTATCGTTTGCAAGAACAAAGGCAATGAGACATGGCAACTCGGCGTAAAGAGGCACGCATGTGAGGTCGGCGTACTCTAAGCCCAGAGCAGTGACAGGAGACAGGACCCTGTTGTTGTTGTTGTTCAGTCGCACAGTCAAGTCCGACTCTTCGCGACCCCATGGACCAGATCATGCCAGGCCTTCCTGTCTTCTGCAGTCCTCTGAAGTTGGCTCAATTTCATGTTCGTTGCATCAATGACACTGTCTAACCATCTCATCCTTTGCCGTCCCCGTCTTCTTTGACCTTCAGTCTTTCCCAGCATCAGGGTCTTCTTCAGTGAGTGTTCCCTTCTCATTGGGTGGCCAAAGTACTTGAGCTTCAGTTTCATTATCTGGCCTTAGCGGCCAGTCATTGGCCAACAAGCGGAACGGGCTTTTAAGGCAGTTTTCTCAGATCCCCAGCTCGTGCTGGAAACTAATCACGCAGACGAATCGCTGCACGCCGGATCCTGCGTTCCTGTTTCCTGGATTTCATCTTGATTCTCTGGCTCCTGACTTTGGCTTGTATGACGTCATTTCTCTGGCTCCCTGACTTCGGACTGAATAACCTGACTCTTGACGAACGGCTTTTGGCTTCTAAACTCTGCCTGCAATCTCCGGTAACCCTAGACTGTATTTTTGACTTGGTATTTTGGACTCTGCTCACGTTTCTCTGCTTTATCTGGTGCCTGGACCTCAGACTGTATTTTGGACTTTCCATGCCCTGCATGTCCCGTCAGCGCAATCGTGACATATGGGAACAGAGAGCGGGGCTGGCCGGTGAGCTCAGGGGGTGACAGCAGGGGTGGAACTCCAGCAGGCAGGCTTGGCTCCAGTAGGCAGGCTCGGTGGGGCTGATGGTGTGGTGCGAACGCTCACCATGCCACAAAATAATAATAATAATATGGATTTTTCAAGGGGCCTGGGCTGTATGAGAAGTCAGGGGGCTGGGCCCTGAGAGGCCCCACTGTAGCTATGGGCCTGGGAGTGAGGACTCAGTTGGGGACTTGGCAGCCCTATGGTCCCCTCAAGATTACTGTACATAGCATTCTCTATGTATATGACTGCCTCTCTCCACCCCTTTCTGCTTAAGGGGATTCTTGACTGTATCTTTCCTCAAGAGCCTCCTTCCTTCCTTCCTTCCTTCCTTCCTTCCTTCCTTCCTTCCTTCCTTCCTTCCTTCCTTCCTTCCTTCCT